GGAGGCAGAGGTTCTTTCAAGGTGCCGAAACCACCGGTGAAGAATAACATGGACTGTAGATGGCATTCATCCCCTCCTCACAAGTCGGGGCTGCCTAAGTGTGCCACCTGTTCAAATAAACCACTTCGGAAAGTGCAATGCACCCCCGAGGTGCTATCAATGTGGGAATACGGGTCACATGAAGGCCAATTGCCCACAATTGGGGAGAGAGAGAGCCTAGGGAGCCGGAGGAGGAACCATGATGGAAAGAACCGTGTGGTGCCGTCACACGGCGGTACGGGGAAGGGCGGCGCATCAACAAGCAACGCCGTGTCCGTCAACCAAGGAAGGGCCCAAGAGAGGGTCTACGCGATGACCGAGACCAATGCTCAGGCCAACCCCGACTCCGTGGCAGGTAATCCCTTATTTACACTTGTATTTTTCATGTACTTAAGTGTTAAAAGCTTTATTGAGAATGTACGGGCCGACCGACGGCATTTTCGGCTCGTTTCTGAGCGAAAAACGAAGTTAATGTTGCCCAGGGGTGAACGGGCGCCGGTCTGGGCTTGAACCGGCGCCGGTCCAGAGTATTTTTGGCCAACAATTTCTATTTAGCCCCGTTTTGATCCGGTACGTTGGATAATGTGTCTTACATGACTTATATATGTAGGAATACTAAAGATCAATGGTAAAAATGCAAGAATTCTCATTGATACCGGGGCACATCGCTCATTTGTGAGTGAAGCGTTTGCCGAAAGTTTAGAGGTACCGTTGATAGCAATGACACAACCCTTGTTGGTCTCTACACCGTTGGGAGACGATGTAGAAAGGAGGCACTACTATCCTTCGTGTGAGGTAGAAGTTACGGGTCAACCCTTTACCTGCGACTTCGTACCTCTAAGCATGTTGGAGTGTGATGCGATCATAGGGATGGATTGGCTGGAGAAGCATCGTGCTCAAGTGGATTGCTACGCCAAGGTTTTGGAACTCGAGGATGATTATGGAAACGTCTTACGTTTCGAGGGAGATCGGGGAAGATCTCAAAGTTGTATCATATCCGTGATGAGGGCACGGAAGTGTTAGGAAATTGATATAACGTACCTCGAAAGTACGGCAGCGGAAGTTTAAAATTTTCCCAAACAGATCTTCCTCGATTATGACAAAATAACGAATATGATAATAATAACAGATCTGAGTTAGAACTTACAGATCTTCCAGCCTAGCGGTGATAATCCTTGACCTTTGGTATCCACGTGATTTCTCCTTTCTGAAAGAACAGATAGATCTCCCTAAGAGAAAGGCTAGGAAATCTCTACGCAGGGAAATAAACTGGTAATACTGAATCTGAAAACTGGTCTGTGAATTATGAAGGAGGAGCGTGTATTTATACTAGTTCTAAACTAGTTTCCTAATCACAATGAAAGTGTTCTTCATTAATGAGTTCTAATCCTAACAGGACCAATACTCCTTATTAATGATTCAATTAATTAAACAAAACAAAAATAACCAACAATAAGAGTAAAGTGGGCTTGTACGCCACTTTTACTCATGATCATTATTTATTTTTATTTTCTCTTTTCTTTTAATCCTAAATTATAAAGAAAAATACCAACTTTATTTAATTAAAAATACATCTTAATTAAGTACAATAAATCCAATTTATTCCACTTAATTAATTCTATCAAATAGAACTCTCCTTCAACTTCATGAATTAAATATGTTTAATCTAATTAATATTTAATCCATTTTCAGTATTACTAATTAAATATTATTTAATCCAATTAATAATATTTAATTCCTTCTAACAATTCAATCGGAAGGTATAATCACTTGTTGTGTGACCCATAGGGCCTTATATATTAAACACTAATCAAATTAAGGTCTTAGTAGAATCCCTAGACGATTTACTAGACAATCTTAATATATAAGGACGTTTGCGAGGACTATTCAAACTCCCTGTAATATAGAGCTCATAGTGATACGGTCCTTTCATTCAGCGAACATTCAACTAAGTCTAGAACATGATATTGTGTCTATCCCAATAACTCAGTCTCTGTCTCTCAATCTTTCTAGATGATCCATAACGATCATATTCGATATCCAAAACGAATATATCTTTGCATTGGCCAATGACTTTATGATCCATCTAGATATGAGAAGTAGAATGTTCTCTCTTAATCTATTATGAGGAATGAATCCTTTCTTGGCTCAACTACTACTCCATGTGCTTCGTGATGCACCCAACACATGCCGTATCTACCCCGATTGGAGTGCAAGCGTTGGTCATGGTCAAAGTACATCACTCCGCACATGTAGTACGTATTGACCTCAAGTCGGAGGATTATTACACTACTCTATACGTCGATAATCCCATAGACACATGAATAGAACTTATCAAATGGTTTCTCGGTGGATATGCCAATATTCTCTAAAATATCTATGTGACCATCATGAATTACAGGAACTCATAGTTGTGAGATCAACTATACTTTCTAAAAGTATGATGCAGTTCACATACCAATCTTATCACATATCATCAATATCCCATTCTTGATGATCATTGATTGGGGCTATTTTAGGACCTTATGTGATATCATATAAGCTCCCACTTACTTATTGACAACATAAGTCCAAGGGAACACAATTATGAATAAGATATTGACAATCAAAATACTTAATCATCAATGTGTAATACCGCATATATCGAATATATAAAACTGAATGTGATCAAGTACATATATATCTCTAAAAAGTGATTGTCGCTAGGACATATATACTAACAATCTCCCACTTGGCCTAATGCCAATCACCGATGTGTCTAACACCTAGACTCTCAAAAGTCTAGTGTGTTTCTCACATCTCAAAGGTTTGGTGAATGAGCCAGCCAAATTGTCCTCTACGGGAATGCGTTCTATTGCAACTTCTCATCTTGCTATTTGTATCAAAACATGATAGCATACTGGTATTTTCTAGTTCCTTACTTTGCATCTTGGTTCCTTAGCTTGTGCAAATATACAGGTACAGTCACAATAACAATTATTGGATAACTGTCGCCAGGAACTACCCCTATTTCTTTAAGGAACTAACGTATCTAAACACTTACCTATGTTGCATCAAATGCAACAATTTACTAGGCTCTAGTTGTCGAATTTACAATAGTTTCTTGCAACTCTTGCAGCATTACTATTACATTGAGACTAAAAACATATACTGACTATGACTTGTAGTCTTTCTTATCATACATGAAACTAGTGCTAGAATAGTTAAATTCTACTAGTTCTTTCTGTCTACCATAGACAAGAGATATTCATGAAGATTTTGGGTGACCATTCTTTCACTGACTTCAATGAGGGTATATCATTCTCTATGATCAACATATATGAATAAAAAGACCACGCTATCCTTGTTGTGCACTCTAAACACGCAAGCACCCTCATTTCATTTGATGAAGTCAAACGATTTGACTATTTCATCAAAATTAATATTTCAACTCCTAGAGGCTTGTTTTAGCCCATAAATAGATTTCTCTAATTAACATAGTGATTTAGAATTTGACTTGGATAAAAAAAACTTCAGGTTGTACCATGTACACCTCCTCCTCGAGGTTTCCATTAAGGAAAGGGGTTTTGACGCCCATTTGTCAAATCTTATAATCATATTATGCAGCTATAACTAGCAAAATCAAAATGGACTTGAGTTTTACAACTGGTGAATAGGTATCACTATAGTCAATTCCTTTTCTTTGACTATAACCTTTAGCCACTAGCCTAACTTTGTATGTTCTCACCTTGCCTTCAACATTAATTTTCTCCTTAAAAATCATTTTGCATCCAATGGGTCTAACCCAACAGGCAAGTCAACCAAGTTCCATACTTGATTGATACACATCGAGTCCATTTTAGATTTTATGGCTTCTCGCCACCTCCATGAATCAACATCTAATATTGCTTCTCAGGTTCATCCGTATCAGGAATCTTAACATCATCATGATCCTCCATGAGGAAGCCTAACCTAGTTAGTTCATGATGAATCCTAGTCGACCCGCAGAGTTGAATGTTTTGCGTTTTGTTCATGCTGTTCATTCTGATCGTGAAGAGGTTCTCTTTCATTGGACTATCCAATGCTTAGAGAGTTTTCTGGTGCTACACTTTTAAGTGTTTCCAGAGAAAGAGAAGTGGGTGCAGAAGGAATGACAACCATGTCATCTTATCTTTAATAAGAATCACTTGCTGGTGCGAGGTGATTCCTATATTACTCCCACTAGCTGAAGGATATCCTCCTAGAGACATTCTTCAAGTCAATTCTCCCACTGAATCCTTCGTCAGACCATCTAATAAATCTTCATTCTCTATGTTACTTCAGCTTTCAATTTGATTAATGCACATTTCTTTACATATGTAGGGCAACCCATATTTAATATGTGAAGAAAATGTCTTTTATTATACTATAACTCATATAGTACATTTTGCACTAATCAAACTATTCAGAATGTATATTCAGATTTATAGCGTGTACCCTCAAAAGAATGTTTGGAAGAGAAAATGAATTCATCACAGATCTAGCCATGTCTAACAAAGCCTTATTTCTCCTTACAGAAACGCCAGTCTTCTAAGGTGTTCTGGAGGAGTTCATTATGACCGAATTCTTTGACCTTTTAAATAAATCAGAAATTTTACTTAAGTACTCTTTGACTTGCTATCCTTTTTCCTAGAAAAGGATTATTAGTCAAGTTGCTTGAAAGACAAGATTCACAATTTCCATATGACTCAAAAGCAAATGGTGTTAAATAATCTAATTCATTTAATGTTGCTATTCTTGTTTCATTAATTTGACCAAGTTTGCAATGTCATAGATAGGTAGTAATTTTTCTGATTACTTAATCGAGATCCTTTTACTTTATTCATTTAATATCTAATATGTCGATTGATAATTAACCATTCATAAGAAAAGCATTTCCACAACAACACCATTTTATAAAAATAATTATTAGTAGCAAAATGGAAATAGAAATCTTTTAATGTCTAACATATGAATGGAAATAATCTTCTTGGTAATAGAAGGAATAAAATAACAATTATTTAATTCTAATCTAAAATCACTGGGCAAATCTAAACTATAAGATCATATCACGTTCAGCAGCAACTTTTGCTCCAGCCTTCACGCGTAGGTCAATTTTACCCAGTCCAACTGCTACACTGCTTCTTAGGCTTCTGCACATTTTTACAAATGTGTAAGCCATAAGTTGTATCTAATACTTTAACAATGAGAGTTAGTTATATACATATTTATTTAATGATAAAAATACCTGAGCTTGAAGCACCCGGTGCTTTGGCTTGATTAGCCTTATACAGCTCACAATCTCTCTTCCAATGCCCCTTCTCTTTGCAGTAGAGGCAAACATCCTTTGCAACCTTTGGCTTCATATAACCTCCACCTTTAGGCTTCAGAGCTGTAGGAGTAGGTCCAACCTTACCTTTCTTCTTTTGCTTATTCTTGTTCTTAGAACGAGACTTAGCATTAGAGCTTACCATAAGAACAATCTTTCCTTTAGAGGTTGAGGCTTCATAAGACTTGAGCATGTTATGGAGTTCAGGCATGGTCGCTTTCGTTTTGTTCAAATTATAATTCACAATGAAGTTAGTAAATGAACTCGGAAGCGAATATAGGATGATAGCAGCTGAGACACGATCCTCAAACTTAATTCCGGTGGTTGCAACTCTTTCCATTAAGCCAATCATTTTGAGGACGTGCTCATACACGTTGCCACCCTCTTGAAGCCTACACTTGAAAATGTCTGTCAGAAGTTCATACTCTAGAGTCTGACTTTCTGAATCAAACAGACTTTTCAAGTGTTCAAGCATCTCGAAGGCGCTCATCCTATCATGTTGCCTTTGCAACTCCATAGACATTGCAGCCAACATAACACATTGCACATTTTTAGCATCAGTGACATGTTTCTCTCGAGCAGTCAGGTCAAACATGGCAAACTCAGGAGAGTTGGCATCAGGAATCTTGGGTACCGGTGTGTCTAACACATACTCAATATTTTCTTGTCTAAGAACTAAACGCACATTTCTTTCCCAGTCTAGAAAGTTTGGTCCAGTAAGCTTGCATGTATCCAAGATACTTCTCAATGATAAATTCGACATTCCTAAAAGCCTAAAGAAGTACAAATAGAACGGAATTAAAATTCATATAATAATTTATATGATCACATCTAGTTAACTAAATAATATGGACTTTTAATTATTTAGCTCCCACTATTTTTCATGCTCTTTGACCCCAACAAAAAAGAACATTAATTGTTTTCACAATCATAGTGGCCAAGATCCACATTCATACTATTACAGTCCCGGCTTGGACTGATCACTGCAATAATATAATGGGTAGGTCCCTAGACCAATTGCGTCCAAGCAATTCTTGGTTGATCAATTTTTAATTGATCGACATCCCTAAATTAACACTGACGCTTGGGCGACTCGAGCTAATTTAGGTAAGTCAAAACCATCACACGATCACAAACATATGTATCTATAAATTAGTTCTATATTTTGTCGAATGGAATAAACACTTGGGTGAAATATTCTTCAACGAAAAAATATTTCTACTTATTTAATTATGATGGGTGATGTCGTTATCCCAGACAAGACTTAAATTTTAATTTATGGGGAACGTTCAGCGGGGTATTAAATTAATTTATTTAATCAAGATGCTAAAACATATTATTATCAAATAATAATATGTTAACGAGATCTAACTCAAACATGTAAAATTAAAGCATACAATATAAATCTAATTTATAACAAATATAATAATCAAACATTAATATCATAAGCATGCTGAAATAACAATAATATAATAATAAGTTAAATTAAAATTAAACTTTTCAAATCTCAAAGATAATTAATCTAATTAAGAAAAGAATATTTTAATTTAGTTACGCACTTTATATATTATTATACAAATGGATAATAACGATTATCATCAACTCATCATCATGTTAGGTTTCTACTTGCATAAACGAGAAAAGATCGACAAACTGAGTACATCTTCAATTCGATTTAGAATTTTAAAAATTGCATGAAAGCCCTCAAAGTTTGTCAAAATTCTAAAAATAGCCCAAAATCCAAATATCCAGATTCAGATGCAGCGCATAATCAAATCGCAGATGCAAGGCTTTGTAGCGGAATCACCATTGGCCTGCAGCACCGTCGTCGCTGCTCGCCTTGCTCGTCCGACTAAATTCTCTGCAGTCCGACGTCGCTCGCCCGCTATAATCTTTTCTAATTCGTGATTTAGTATTCATCGACGCAGATTTCGATGTCATCGCTTGAGGTTCTTCCTCTTGGAAGAAACTCCAAATAGAAGACGCAACGACGAACAGAGGCTCACCCATTTAGATGAATTTGAAAACCTTTTGTTTGACTTCGTGTTTCTGGCTAAGTACGGCAGAATTATCTTCTTGGAAAAATTAATAGTGCTCGGATGGTGGAGTACATTGAAGAGAGCAAATCGTTTCATACGGAGTATTAGTTTTAGATTTCAATTCTAGAACTAAAATCTTAAATTATTACTCTAACTTTTGATTTCAAAAGAAGATTCGAATTTTGGATTCGGAGATAACACCAGGGACGAATATAGATCAAAAAAAATATACTTCGTATAATGTCATTAGAATCAGTTTGGCTCTGATACCACTGATAGGAAATTGATATAACGTACCTTGAAAGTACGGCAGCGGAAGTTTAAAATTTTCCCAAACAGATCTTCCCTAATTATGACAAAATAACGAATATGATAATAATAACAGATCTGAGTTAGAACTTACAGATCTTCCAGCCTAGCGGTGATAATCCTTGACCTTTGGTATCCACGTGATTTCTCCTTTCTGAAAGAACGGATAGATCTCCCTAAGAGAAAGGCTAGGAAATCTCTACGCAGGGAAATAAACTGGTAATACTGAATCTGAAAACTGGTATGTGAATTATGAAGGAGGAGGGTGTATTTATACTAGTTCTAAACTAGTTCCCCAATCACAATGAAAGTGTTCTTCATTAATGAGTTCTAATCCTAACAGGACAAATACTCCTTATTAACGATTCAATTAATTAAACAAAACAAAAATAACCAACAATAAGAGTAAAGTGGGCTTGCACGCCACTTTTACTCATAATCATTATTTATTTTTATTTTCTCTTTTCTTTTAATCCTAAATTATAAAGAAAAGTACCAACTTTATTTAATTAAAAATACATCTTAATTAAGTACATAAAATCCTATTTATTCCACTTAATTAATTCTATCAAATAGAACTCTCCTTCAACTTCATGAATTAAATATGTTTAATCTAATTAATATTTAATCCATTTTCAGTATTACTAATTAAATATTATTTAATCCAATTAATAATATTTAATTCCTTCTAACAATTCAATCGGAAGGTATAATCACTTGTTGTGTGACCCATAGGGCCTTATATATTAAACACTAATCAAATTAAGGTCTTAGTAGAATCCCTAGACGATTTACCAGACAATCTTAATATATAAGGACGTTTGCGAGGACTATTCAAACTCCCTGTAATATAGAGCTCATAGTGATACGGTCCTTTCATTCAGCGAACATTCAACTAAGTCTAGAACATGATATTGTGTCTATCCCAATAACTCAGTCTCTGTCTCTCAATCTTTCTAGATGATCCATAATGATCATATTCGATATCCAAAACGAATATATCTTTGCATTGGCCAATGACTTTATGATCCATCTAGATATGAGAAGTAGAATGTTCTCTCTTAATCTATTATGATGAATGAATCCTTTCTTGTCTCAACTACTACTCCATGTGCTTCGTGGTGCACCCAACACATGCCGTATCTACCCCGATTGGAGTGCAAGCGTTGGTCATGGTCAAAGTACATCACTCCGCACATGTAGTACGTATTGACCTCAAGTCGGAGGATTATTACACTACTCTATACGCCGATAATCCCATAGACACATGAATAGAACTTATCAAATGGTTTCTCGGTGGGTATGCCAATATTCTCTAAAATATCTATGTGACCATCATGAATTACAGGAACTCATAGTTGTGAGATCAACTATACTTTCTAAAAGTATGATGCAGTCCACATACCAATCTTATCACATATCATCAATATCCCATTCTTGATGATCATTGATTGGGGCTATTTTAGGACCTTATGTGATATCATATAAGCTCCCACTTACTTATTGACAACATAAGTCCAAGGGAACACAATTATGAATAAGATATTGACAATCAAAATACTTAATCATCAATGTGTAATACCGCATATATCGAATATATAAAACTGAATGTGATCAAGTACATATATCTCTAAAAAGTGATTGTCGTTAGGACATATATACTAACAGGAAGATGATGAAGAAAGGATGCCACACATACCTTGCTTACGTGGTGGATGAGACAAAGAAGGAGGTCGACATCAACGATGTACGTGTCATGTGTAAGTATCTGGATGTCTTCCCCAAAGACTTACCGTGGCTTCGACCCGATAAAGACATCGAATTTGTTATCGAAGTAGAGCCAGGGACCAAACCCATTTCGATTCCTCCTTATCGAATGGCACCGGCGAAACTTCAAGAGTTGAAGGTCCAATTACAAGAATTTTTGGACAGCGGGTTCATTAGACCTAGTCATTCACCGTGGGGAGCAACGGTACTCTTCGTGAAGAAGAAAGATGGTACACTAAGAATGTGTATTGAGTACCGACATTTGAATAAGGTCACGATCAAGAATATGTATCCTTTATCAAAGATGGTGTTCTCAAAGATTGATTTGAGGTTGGGCCATCATCAGTTGAAGATCAAGGAGAGTGACATACCGAAGAGTGAATTTCGCACTAGATATGGTCACTACGAGTTTCTTGTGATGTCATTCGGTTTAACTAGCGCACCAGCGGCATTCATGGACTTGATGAACCGTGTGTTTAGTGAGTACCTAGATCAGTTTGTGATTGTATTCATCGATGTGATCTTAATATACTCAAAGAATGAAGATGAACATGAACATCACTTGAGGCTTGTGCTTGAAAGGCTAAGAGAGAAGCAACTATTTGCCAAGTTCTCTAAATGCGAATTTTGGCTTAAAGAGATTGGCTTTCTCAAGCATGTCATATCGGGATCGGGCATTGCGGTGGACAATGCAAAGATAGAAGCTATTATGAGTTGGGAACAACCCAAGAATGTGAAAGAGATATGTAGTTTCCTTGGCTTAGCGGGTTACTATCGTACTTTTGTTGAGAAATTCTCCATGTTGGCGTCACCACTTACGAAGCTCACGAAGAAGGGGGCTAGGTTCGTATGGGACGACACATGTGAGAAAGGGTTTCTTGATCTAAAGAAACGACTTACGAGGCACCAGTTCTTGCTCTACCCACACAAGGTATAGGGTATGATATCTATAATGATGCTAGCATCCAAGGGTTTGGATGTGTACTAATGCAAAGGGGTAAGGTGATTGCCTATGCTTCTAGGCAATTGAGGAAACACGAGGTGAAATACCCTACCCATGACCTAGAGTTGGGAGTGGTGGTGTTTGCAATAAAGATTTGGAGGCATTATCTCTACGGGGAGACATGTCACATCTACACCGATCATAAGAGTTTGAAGTACGTATTCACTTAGAAAGAGTTGAATATGAGGTAAAGGAGATGGATGGAGTTGATCAAGGACTATGACTTGTTTCAAGAGCCATAATCCTAGTCGAATCAAGAGAAGGATGGTAGGGAACTGAGTTGAAGCTAACCATATCTTCAGACCTGGAACCAGATGCGAGTTATGGTATTATGCAACCTGTGGGATATCCACAAGAAAACCAAGAAGGTATAGAAAAAGGGGATTCAGATTCCAACTCTCCTCTAAAAGATGTTTTTCTTTGAGAAGTAATTCTTACTCATGGAATAGAAAACATGACACAACAAGAAAGAAAGATAGAGGACGGTGGAAAGTGTTGCCTTGAGGTTCCACCGGGTGAGAACAGTTTATATGCAATTGCAGCAAGCCAAGAGAATTTTCCGAACTTTATATTCTTCCCTCTTCATGTTGTTATTGAAGTTAGAATTTCCATTTTAAGGACTGCAATTAATCAGATGCAAGAGAGTATGATTGGGACTCTTATATGCAAAGAAAAGTATGGTTCATATGTTTCTTTTGCTCGCATGCATCTGGATAGAAAAGGTCCTAGTACCCTTGATTCACCTAACGATTTGTGGGTTGGTCCTTTGACAGGAGAGCTCAGAATTACAGATTCCATCACAGATATAACATGGGAAAATTGTGTGGAATAATATATTGAAGCCAATGAAAAGGTGAAATTGAAACAAGGCTTGAAAATGGCCTTGTCTCTTTCAGGTGAATGAACTGTTTACCTGCAAGAAAACCAACTTTGGAAGTTTTACATTGTAGATAGGATTTCATGTTCCATACTTAAGAGAATTGTGGTAGGTGGGAGCCTTTTGCGGCACTGGAGTAATGATGATGAAGACTTAGGAGAAATGATGCTGGTATATATAGTGGATTTCCTTGCTTGCTTGCTAAAACCTTTTATGCCTTCCTTTTCATATGAGAAAGGCAAAAAATTGAAAGAGAAAGAAGTTGAAAGGTACAAAGAGAAGTTTGCATCTAGTACAGAAACATGTGTTGTTATTGAGTGCTTGAAAATTACTTAAGCGAATGAAACTTCATTAGATATCTCTTTTGTTGCTGAAATGTCTCTGGTATCAAAATATTTGGTATTGAAGTTCCTAGTCCAGCAATCCGTCAAGTACTGGGAGGGAAGAGGTGCAAGAATTAAGTGGAAGTGGAAGATCATGGCCGTTTTCTATCACCCACCTTGAGGACAAGGTGGTTGTTTAGGGGGGAGTATTGATAGGAATCACGCGTATTAGGTCAATAATAGAAATAATAATAGTAATAGTAATAGTAATAGTAATAGTAATAGTAATAGTAATAGTAATAGTAATAGTAATAGTAATAGTAATAGTAATAGTAATAGTAATAGTAATAGTAATAGTAATAGTAATAGTAATAGTAATAGTAATAGTAATAGTAATAGTAATAATAGAAATAATAGTATTAGTGATAGTGGTAGTGATAGTGATAGTGACAGTGATGGTGATAGTGATATTGATAGTGATAATGATAATAATAAGTGTACATGTAGATAATAATAAGTGTACATGCAGTATAAATACAAGGGGAAGGGAGGAAAAAGAGGTGGACGGTTATTTCTGTTGGCTTTAGACTTGGAGAATGGGCATCTCGAATTGTCTATGTACACTATATTCCTTCTGTAAACACTTCATCTCTCAGAATAATACTTTTTGATCAGTTTCTTGATCAATTCTTCCTAATCAATCTCTATTGTTCTGAGTCATAATTTACAAGTGTTCTATGAGCTGGCTGCTCTAGTTTTATCCAAAGTAAATTTTAGTTGACACTTGACATGGGAAATGAACACGAGTATGCAATGCAACATATTGCTTACTTAGGATGTTTTTACTTGGACTCTAATTCCTCCTAGACCAGATCAAACCAGACCAGACTATTTCAGACCAGACTATTTCAGACCAGACTAGACTTGAATAGTTATAAAAATACAAAGAAACCAGACCAAACAGACCAGACCAGCAAATTACAGTCTAAGTAAAAACATCCTAAAAAAACATTGCAAGTGGTATGATATCTATGGCAGTCAAAACCATCTTTTGTCTCTTATTCATTTTGATTATCGTCAAGAGTTTTCATACCCTTTTAACTCATATTAATTACCTTTTTATCTCTTCTTTTGTTCTCTCAGGCATATGAGTTGAGACTAGGTTCTTGGTCCTTGTTCTCTATCGTTCTGCAGCATAATAATGTTCTCGTTGTATAGTGTTAATAATTTTTGCCATGCCTTTTGATATTTCAAAGT